TGCCAAGACCACCAAGTATTTCTTTTTCTTTACAGTAAAAAGTTCTGTAGTACTAAGAAAATAAAGCAATAATGACAGTCTCAGCAGCCAACATTTTGGCTGAGGGAAATGACCCACCATTCCACTGGACAGCGATGGTAGTTTCTCTCCATACTTCAGCCTCGGACAAGTGGCTTTTCATAGCCTCCATTCATGGTGCACTTTATGGTACTAGGATAAAGACCCTCAGACCACTGATTTATCTCCCTTTTCCCACCCATCTAAAAGATTCATGCTGCTCTTCTGAGTGTTGATGGGAGAACAACAGCTTGATCCATTGTTGCTCATAGAAGGCCCCAAAAGCCATTGGGCATTGCCAAGGAGTTCTGGATCAAGTGGAAACCCTCACATTGTCTTCAGGCTGTATCAGAAAATCCCTAAGACGGATGTTGCTATGAACCAGCAATACCTGTAAATGCTGCCAGCAGGGACTCAGTGTATTCTGGGATCACAGCAAGGAGGGCGCTTAGCTCTTGGCTAAAAGGTTCTGCTCCTGTGAAGTCTGCAGAACCTCCTGGAAGTGCTGAAGATACCAGCTCAATACAAGTGCACAGCTGGCTGACAAGTCCTTGTAAGGTTCACTCCTCGATCCCTGGTGCAATCGTTTTGTCTTCTCTCTTGGTCTTTTCCTCTCCTAACTTTAAGTAGCCATTTTGCCTTGGAATCATGATTACAAATTTTTCCTTTGCAGATGCCTTTCTGGGGGATATTCCCCCCACACCCTAAAGGGTCGCCTGCAGCTCAGGCTGACTGGGCCTCTGCTGTGGCATTCTCTCACAAGAGACCCTCTGAATTTTAGCACCAAGTGCCTTCTCTGTCACAGCGCTGCCACCTTCAGAGGACTTTTGCTGTGTCAGAAAAATGTGGAGGTTCCATATTAATGCATTACTCATTTCTGGTTTTAAGTTTTGATAACTATTAAAGCATCATTTGCACCTGTGTGGTAACTTTGCCTGTTGTGGAGCATCATGGCTAAGCTGCAGCTGGAAACTGCTTTCTTCAGTCTCGAGGTTGAGAAGGTCAGCTTTGAAAGGGAAGTGCCCAGCTTAGACATTCAGAAGAGAAGAGAAGAGTAGAGGATCAGAGTTACAGTTTTAAGTGAAACCGCCTGGGTTTAACATCTTAGATGAAGAAAAAAAAGAATGCTAGAAGTCTTTACTCCGGATGGAGGTAGTGTGTTCACCCTTAATCTTTCATTCATAGCCTGTTTGTGAAAGGAAGAAAATGAGATTCTTTTGTGTAACATTGTAGTTCTTTGTATTACCAAATAGTTGGGGTCCTGACCCACAGTGTGTTTTGCAAGAGTGTTTGGGAAGCAGGGTAAGGAGAAGTAGCAGGAGTACCAGTAGCATATGTGTGCTGGGGAGTGGCAGGGGGTGATTTGTTTTAGGGGGAAATACCCACGTTTTAATATTTAAACTTCTGAATAAACTGTGTGAAAACAGTAGTGGAAATCTGTGATGTGTTTTAAAGCAAAAGTGTCTTATAATTCAGAACAGTACTGGTGGCTTCTTTTAAGCCCTTAGTTGTTGAACATCACAACAGTACGCTGTGGTCCTCTATGCAAAGTGCGGTCCCGTCTCAGGGAAGCTAGGGCCAGATTTGGTTTCCAGGGAGCCAGCCTTCTGAATTGGTGTCCCTCTAAAGACTTCTGTCAGCCCCTGCACATATTCTTTCTACCCTCATTCAAGGTTACGGGGAGTGGGCCCTCCCCTTGCAACAAGGTCACAGACACCTGCTGTCGAAAGTGCTGCACCTGTGCAAAAGTGGGGCCTTGGGGCTGGGAATACAGCTCAGCTGGTCGAGTGCTCTCCTCCCATGCACAAAGGCCTGGGTTCAACCCCCAGCGCCACAAAAACAAAACAAGTGAGCCCTTTCCACAGCTGTTTACAACCCAACCCTTTGTTTTCCCCTCCCAAGATTACAGGATGGGACTTAGCCTTCCATTTCCATTAGAGCAGGGTCAGCCTCTGAGAGGCTGTGTGCTGTAGCAGTGCTGTTCTGTTTCACTCCTTAGACCCTTTCTGGGTAAAGGAACCTCAGAAATAGGTAAGAAGGGGCAAAGACTTAGTAGCCAGAATTAGTAGTTTTTCCAAGGCTTTTGGGTCCCAAGAAACAACTTAGGAAATGCTGGTTCAGTTGATCTTGTTCACAGTTAATTCTCTTTCTTACTTTCATTGGGGAAGTTGGAAAATAAAATTGTTACACTAGTAAAGCTTTAGTGCATACTAAAATGAAACAATATTGATGGTCCTGAGTCTGTCTTTGATTCAGGAGTGCATCAGAAGTTTTAATACCTGTTTCTTTTTAGAATTAGTTTCAAAAATAAAATTCAGATGAATTCACTCAGGATTAATCAGCACATTGCTGATTTCAAAACTCATATCAGGAGACCCCTGCCATTGATTGTTGGTGCTTTTTCTTAAGACTCATTTGCTTGGAAGGCACATTTCCTGGATCACTTCATTCTTTTTCTCTCTGGGACCTAGGTGTGTAACCCAAATGGTATTTTATCTATTTATTTATTTATTTGTTGGTTGTTTGTGTTTGGAACACCCTTTTTTTTTTTGTCGTGCTGAGGCTCAAACCCAGTGCCTCACATATGCTAGGTGAGCACTCTACCGCTGAGCCACAATCCCAGCCCCTCAAATGGTACTTTTAATTGAACTCAAAGGATTCAGAGTGGTACTGTTCATATCCTACTTAGCATACATTTCCCTAGAATGATCTATCAAAACCACTGACTTGAAAAACAGGCTTCTTAGTGGGCAAGGTGGGGCACACCTGTAATCCCAGTGACTTGAGAAGCTGAAGCAGGCGGATCGTGTTTGACAACAACCTAACAAGACCCCTGACAACTTAGCAAGACCCTGTCTCAAAAAAAAAAAAAAAAAAAAAAACCCAGACTCCTTGATACTTTTTAAAATTTCTATTTCCGAAGAGAAACATCTTGCTCAAACAATGTTTAAGGTCCATGATGTACAGGGCGCTCTGGGGACACAATAGGGAGCTCATCATGTTTTTGAACTGCAGATCTGTGGGAGGTGAGGATTCCCACACTAAAGGGCTTCACCAGCTGTAGCATCAACAGTGAAGTTATTAAATTGGTGTCGAGGTGACAGTGCCGATAAAGCCAATTCAGTTGAGTGGCATAGGGAAGCTTCCCAGAGATGTTTTATTCTAAGTAGTCGTGATTTGATGGGAAAGAAGTTCACAGTCCAGGATTCTGGGGCCTGGCAGCGTGGCTCCCTGTGGTCGAGGCACTTCTGTTCACTTCCTCATTTCCCTCTCCCACTCAGCTCATTTCAGTTGGATTTCTTTTCTCCTGAGACAGGGTCTTGCTAAGTTGCCTAGGATGGTCTCAAACTTGCTATCTACCTGCCTCAGTTTCCCAGGTTGCTGGGATTATAGGCATGTGTTATCATGCCAGCTCACAGTCTGGTTTCTGTCCCATGTGTGAAACGTTAGCCATCCCTAGCATTAAGGTTTATAATTCCCCTGGTCCTTGGTGTTCACTTACAATGCCCCCCCCACCCCACCCCCGTGTTCTCCTCTGTCCTGCTGCACTTACACTGTTGAATTTTTTTTTCAGTTTTCCTCCCCACCCTTCCTTCTCTAGTCCATTTCCCCACCACTTAAATGTGTGCTCTCTCCTTGCTGTGGCTTTAGCTACTTTTTAATTGAGGTCTTATCTTCTAACCCAACTTACCTAGGTCCCTTCTCAGAACTCTGCCAGAAACAGCCCCTGCAAGGCGTCATGTAGGCTCAGAAAATTCTAGTTTCGTCTACCCAGATGTCCAAGCCAGAAAGTTTGGAGCCTCCAAATAAGGCTGTTTTCAGTAAGGCGCCTGAGTTCAGGGCATGGCCATCCATTCTGCCAGTGCCTCTCCTTGTTCCTTATGTGGTTCATCACAGGCCTCCTTGTGTCTGGTCCTCCCCTCTCTAATGTGTTCTCCCTGCTGCCAAAGAAATTCTAGATTCCAAGTCTGGCTCATCATTCTGCCTAAAAACCCTTTAGGGCTCCTATTAATGGAGTCCAACTTCGAGCTAGAGTCTCTCCTTACTCTGCCCACATCTCTGTACCATCCCATCCTTTTCCCTGATGACAAGCTATTATTTTACCTCCGAGCATGTATCTGAGCTAGCCTAGAATACTTCCTCCCCTCATGCAGTTCTCCACAATTTGGTTCACAAGTGACTTCCGGAAGTCTTTTTTATATTCCTCTAAGTAAAAACTGACACCTCCATTCTTTTGGACTTCTTAAGTGACCTGAACTATTTGCAGGTCTGCTCCACATGACAATAAAAGCCCCTTGAAGGGAGAAACTGTGTCCAGTCGGTGTATGGCTGCAGTCAGGCACAAAACATTCAATCGGCTGTCTTCAAGGTGCATTCTTTTGTTATGTGACTATGGGGGTTGAACCCAGGGACACTCTACCACTGAGCTACACCCCCAACGCTTTTTTAAAAAAATTTTATTTTGGGATATGATCTCTAAATTGCTCAGGCTGACCTTGTCCTTGCAACCCTCCTGCCTCAGCCTCCTGAGGAGCTGGCATTACAAGTGTGAACCACTGAGCCCAGGAGGGCATATTCTTAAACTCCTGGGCCATCTGGTAAAATAGTAGCCTGCTGCGGGGTGCACAGCTTGCTTTTCAACCTTTAGGTTATTAGTGCCAATAAGCTCCGGGCCAAGTAGGGCTGAGTGAGCACTTTTGACTAGAGTGGGGCCAAATCACAGAAAGAAATAGAGGGTCAGGATTTGAGTGCCCAGAGGTCTTGAGTGCAAATTAACCAGCAAAGAGAGGCAGATCGAGAGGGCTCACGGAGGTCCAGGGGAGGCCCGGGTTGGAGGAAAGCAGGCTCTGCTCGCTCATCCCAGTGCCACCCTTTCCTATCCTGCTGGTGTCTTGCTTTGTGATTTTATTTTTTCCAAAAACAAAACAAAACAAAAAAACAGGCACACAAATGATAATATTTTATTATAGAAAAAGCATCCCAAATATAGGATTTCGTAAACACTGGTAGGTGAACAAGTGCAACTTGAGAAGTAAATACAAAGTAAAGAGGCAAAACCTACAAGCATTTTGCCATTAGGAGAAAGTGTGATTCTCCCCGGAGGTGATCCCTTCCAGAACACAAACGTGGCTCCATCTCCCATGAAAGCATCAGATTTGCTTCGAGCTCACTCTGCCCATTTTAAGTTTCAAAGTGATGGCAAGAAGTGGCATTGAATGCGTTACTTACAAATACTTGATTTTCAAGGACTCCACATCACACTTTATGACAGTTTGAGTTAAAGCCGGTGCTCTGAATATTTATTTTGATGACAGACACTTTGTTACACTATTTGAAAATAGATCTCTCTCCCCCTGGGCCTACTCCACAGTATTCTCATAGACCTGAATTAATTAGATATCATGCTGTCCTCTTGAGATTTAATTTTAAATAATTCTAGTCACTGGATACTGTGCTATAAATCCAGCTACTTGTCTTCCTTACCCTTTTTGCTGTCACTCCTTCAACACTTTTCTTCTAGTTTGGAGAAACCACGAACTCCTCTAACACATTTTAACATCAGCTCTTGGCTCCCTCTCCAGCTCCTCAGTGGCTCTTTCTCACCAGCTACACAAGGTATGATGCAGACACGAACCCAGGAGTTTAAACTCAGACCCAGGTTCACCTTGGCTTGCTGAGATGCTCTGAAACTGTGGGTCAAACCATTTTGCTTATGAAAATCTTTCTGTATAAACAGCCTGGCTTACTTATTTAGGCACTTAGAAAAGACACCAAACCCAACTTCCACCTTTTCTATTAGGGAGAAACACCTCTTAGCTGACTGGCCACTAACTGACTCAAGGGGATGATGGCAACCCAGCCTTTGTTCCCAAGAGGACTGAGAAGTCCTGCCGTTGCGGAATGTCCCAACCCTGGGACAGGCACAGCTAAGGGGAGCCACCAAATGACAATGATGCTGTGGTCTAAGTTGGGGTTGGGAGGGATGCAGGAAAAAAACTCCCCCTTTACCAGCAGGGATCTGTGGTTCCAGTTTTTCCCTTAGTGACCACCACCTGGTGACATTAACAGATTAATCCTCGCAGATTTCCACTTCCTCAACCCCACTGGTTGGGGCCAAATGCATGTTAACCTGCAATTCTGGGAGTGGAGCGATCTGCCTCTCAAAAGCTTGAGGGAATGAACAACACAGAACAAAGTACCAAGTACATGTTGTACTCTGATCACCTTTTTCACCTAAGCATGAACTAATTAGGTGTTAGCTGGGGCGTGTTTACACTCAGATCACAACACATGAACTGTAACAGGAGAAGTTACATCACAAATACACAAATGTCAGAAAATTCATATCTGCTTTGTAATGGCATGTAAATCTGCTGGGAAGCACCCTTCAACACTTCCCTGAGCTGCTCAGCTGCTAGTGGATGTGAATGTGGTGCCAGTAAGGTGACTTCAAATATGAGCCAATTAGTTTCACAGAAACACTAATTTCTGGCTACAAAGAACCCTAACCCTTCCCTTATCCCTGACCATTCCGTCTTACAAAAATAGACACCAATGGTTATCAGAACTCCAGGTGAGGGACAGCTCAGTTTAACCCCTCACTACTGCTTTTTCCAAGTGAGAAACAGCACTCATTCCCCCATGAAGCTGGTTGCCTCAGAACATTCTTGTTCTTCAATCCTGGAGACAGGGAAGCTCAACACCCGACTTGGTGTGTGGAGGACTGTGACTTGGGTAGTCAAATGGAATCGAGGAGCCTGCTCTATAGAGCTGCATGGGAATGGAATTTAACGAGTCATGTTCTTACCTTAAACAACTTGAAGGAACCTGCCTGTGCAAAATAAGTGATGGGTAAATGCCCAGGGCGGGAAATGGAAAGTCAACTTCTAACAGAAAATGGAAGATAATTCCCAAACACTTCCAGCTGGTGCTGGACTCTTGAATTCAGCCCTGCTGTTACTAGCCACAGGGTGCCAGAGGCAGGTGGGGGCTGGGGAGAGCAATCTGCATTGTCAACCACCATCCACTGTTAATAGAGCTGAGAAATCCAACAAAGCAGCCAGGCCTGACTTGCCTTCCACTGGGAACATTAGTATCGTTTTCTTACTTTACTGATACACCAAAATTCCATGGGACAAGAACAAATTTGGAAAATCCTGCACGTGAGTTTTCCCACCCGCTTTATCACAAATGCCTTCTCTCTGGAGCTCTTATAAATCTTTCTATTATGATACTGAGCACCTGGGAGGCTGAGGCAGGAGGACTCCAAATTCATGGCCAGCTTCGGCAATTGTCTCAAAGTAAAACTTAGAAAGAAAGGACTAGAGATACAGCTTAGTGGTGGAGGGCCTCTGAGTTCGGTCCCCAGTATCACTCTCACACACACACACACACAAGATACCGAGCACTTAGAGAAATTTCTGGCCTCATCATGAAGGACTTTAAGCCATAGCTCAGGTTCCCCTGGCACACCCACAGCAAAGGGCTGCCCTAGGGCACCAAGACCTGTGACTTCACATAGAATCTGCTCCAGGATAATCTGACTGGCCTGATTTGGAGAGGAGCTTCTACTTGATTTTTGAGTTTCATTCCAAATGAATTATCCATTTATCTAGGTTCATAAATGCTGAAGCTAAAAAGGTTTCTTATACCCCTGTCATTATTATTCTTTCTGCCAAAGAACCTGTCTTGTGTGGCTTTGGATTGTTCATTGCATTAGTAAGACACAAAAATTAACTTTAGCTCTTAAGAATTTCTTTTAGACATTCTGAGTGAGCCTAGCTTTCCTAGTTGCAATCTGGGTGTAGAGGGCCCCAGGAATGGCATTTCATTAACCTCTAGTGAGCATCTCACTAGTGCCCATATTTACAAGATAAGAGATTGTCTCATTTTAGGTTTGGTCCCTTTGCTGCTAAGCAATTTACCTAATATAAAACAAAACAAAAACCACAGAGCACAAAGGACGAGGACTTCTTTGCTTAATATGAGGCAACAGGTCTTGTCTTCCTTTCCTGCTTTTGCAGTTGTGCAGAAACTCAGTGAACAGCACCAGACCAAAATTTTTCAAGTTACCAGGGCTGCTGCAAAACTGGTAGCCTAATTACCAAAGCGTGCTTCTTCATTCCTTGCCAGAAGCACAGACTTACTGCAGAGGACACGTTAATTATGGGGGAAAGGAAATAATGGGGGAGAAGCATGTCTCCTACTCAGGATGAGACAGATGACAGGGAGGACAGGGAGGCCTAGCTGAGGGCATTCCAGACAGAGAAGAGCTCTGGTGAGGGGTGGGCTCACAGCAGACCCTAATCTTGAAAGTCATTAGAAGCCATCTGAGAAAGTGGGGCATTTAGCCGGTCAAGTTCATCCACTTGGGGTGGGTGGTGCATTAATATCTCCTGGTCCTCCAAGACATCCTCCCCAGCAGCTACCAGATTAGTGAGAGATTTGCTTCGAACACACTGGAAATCCACATGACGACTCTTTCCTTCTTCCTTTTCCCAGGACATCTGTATAAAGGGGCGCTGCACATAATTATAGATAACTTCAGACCGACCACCAGGTCTTCTCTTAATTTTTTCTTTACAGGTAGGGTACCCTGAAATAGAAAAAAAAAGTCCTTCTCATTGATTCTGGCAAATTATGTGTAGCCTGTGTCCATATTTCCTCCTTCCTCCCAAATCCAGACAGCAAGAAAAACTACATGGGAAATGACCAGTCCCTGCGCCTCATGCCCTTCTTGCTCTTTGGTTAGTAGGACTTGTCCCTAGAAAGGGACTAATTTAAGAGAAGTAACTAGAATTCTACCTCTTCTAATGAAAGGGGAAGAGAACCTCTTATTAATTCCAGGAGACTTTAATTGCTGGCAACAATACCACAGAAGAAAAACCCTGCTAGGGCCTGGGTACTTATGTCTCTTATTCTGTTGCTTAGAGTGCAGAATACATGAGGACCGGCAAAGGAGACGCAGACTGCTTAGCCTAATGGACAAACAGGAATGCTGCTTAAAATACCCAAAAGGCTTTCACATGGAAATGGAAAAAGTCCAAGCAACTTCAGAGGCCACAACTAGCAGGCAGGCAGGAAAGGGAGGCAGTCATCTCTTAAGATGCCTGGAAGAATGTTCTCATGCTTTGATGGGCTGCTCTGGGAAACAGGGTGTTCCTATCCTTTTCCTAGGGTCTCCCAAGAGACATGGAAAAGAGTTTAATAGATAAATCTCAAAATTTCTTCCAATTTTAAATTCCAAGATCAGATACAACGAAGGCTTGATGGGTTCTGAGGGCAAAATTGAGGCGGGAAAAGCAGCCAAGCATGTAAGTCAAAGATCCATGACAGGGAGACCAGGATGGCTTCAGCATACTACAAGAAGCAGTGTCTGAGACCTTTCCAAGAGGGACAAGGATGGAGCTACTGCTCCAGATCATTTAAAGTAGTTCTGTCAATATATCCAGACATTCCTCAGAGGTATGGAATAGTCATAAATTCTGAATGCCCAAACTGTATTTTTCAGAAGGACCCTTCCAGTTCTCACAAACATCTTCACCAAGACTACTAATGAGCAGGGCGCAGTGGCACACACCTGTAATCCCAGCAGCTCAAGAGGCTGAGGCAGGAGGATTGAGAGTTCAAAGCCAGCCTCAGCAAACGCCAGGCACTAAGCAACTCAGTGAGACCCTGTCTCTAAATAAAATGCAAAATAGGGCTGGGATTTGGCTCAGTGGTCAAGTGCCCCCCCGCCCCCCGCCCAGTTCAATCCCTGGTACCCCACCCCCGCAAAAAAATACTGCTGAACAATCCTCTCCGTGGGGAGCCCACAGTCCTGCTGTAGTCCCCACCAGTGTCCTTTGCCCTTACTGATCTTCAGACCTATTCCTGTAGCTGTTTTAAAGCATCTTCAATGGAGAAAAAGTGGAAAGGAAACATAAGGACAATCAAAACCCCCAACAGGAGACCTTCATACTGAAATACAAATGCCGCTTTCATGTGTGCCTCCCCCAGATCCAATCTACTCCCTAAGTAACAACCCGAATGCTAACTGGGATTTTTCTTACCTTCAATCCCAATGCGAATATTTTTCAGGCCCCGTTCCTTCAACACTGTCTTAGCAACATCTCGATTCTCAATATATTTGAAGAATCTGTAGAGCTTGGAGCTATAAAGAACTGAAACAAAACAACAAAACCCCTGGGGTTAGTCATGGAAATGAAGCTCTCTATAAGAGGAAGTAGATGAGGTAACAAACTATGAACTGTGTACTTGACCACTGATACCAAAAGAAACCAGATAGGTCAAAGGTTAAACAACACATGAATCATAAGACAAATTTTTATATTCTCAGGGTAGGGAAGGTCTTTCTGAGTGACTCCTAGAAGCCATAAAAGCAAACAATACAACATTTCTGCATAGCCAAAATCACCATTAACAAAGCTCAAATGATAACCAAATGGGGAAAATATTTGTAATTCATATCACAACCAACTTCCTTAATACACAGCTGCCATATATAGAGTATTCACAAACCACTAAGTGAAAGAATAAATCCAATCATGTAACAAGTGAAGGACTGGAAGTTGTTAAACAGAAAAGGAAATTAGAATTGACTTAAAAATTAAAAAGCCTCACTCATGAAATAAGAAATGCAAATTAAAACTCATGCTGATTACGAGATGCCTTTTTAAAAAAAAACCTATTAAGAAAGTGGCAAAGATAAAAGTTTTAAAAGTAGTATTTTGGTCAGGGTGTGGGAAACCAATCTATCATATGTTCTGTAACTGTAAATTGGCATCCCCCATTTTATGAGGGATAATTTGGCAATATTAGGATTATAAAAGCATAAGCTTTTGAATTTCCATTTCTGGAAATATTCTATGGTGACATGAATATATGAAAAGACTACTTAGAAGGATAATCACTGCACATAATTCATCATTTATAGCCTAGTCAATCACGGTACATTCATTTAATGGCATATTATGCAACCATAAAGAATGTGAAGCTTTTTATGTTAGACATGGTAGAAAACAGTGTGTAAGAAAGGGGGGTAAGAAATAAAGGAGAAAAACAAGTATATAATTGTTTATGTGTACTAAATATACTTGGACAGATATAAAAGAAATAAGAAAACTGGGTAGATGAGGCAGAATGGAATAAGACTTTTAAAGGTAGATCTTTTTATACCTAAGTTTTAAATTATTACCAATTCAAAAGGACTTAAAAATGTCATGATCAGCAATGGTGAGGAGCCAAGCAACTCAGTGAGACCCTGTCTCTAAATAAAATAGGGCTGGGGATGTGGCTCAGTGGTCAAGTGCCCCTGAGTTCAATCCCTGGTACCCCTCACCCAAAAAGATAAAAAATAAGTGAAAGAACAATGACACCACTATGCAATCTGTGGCCTCAGATCTGACACAGTACCAGACAGCAAGAACAGGAGTGAGAGGAATGACATTCACTGTATTCCCAACACCAAGCTCAGACCTGCAGCACTAGAGGTTCACTGTGCAGGTGAGAGTGTGCACCACTGACTCGACCATGACAGCTACACTGGCTCTGGGATTGAGCTGCTCTGAACAGTATTTTTCTTGCTGAAATCATTTACACCCTGCAGGGACTCCTACTTTGGGAATATTCTTCCCCCATGGGTGGGGGGTGGTCCTCATCCCAGTCCACAGAATCTTCATCAGTCAGCACAACAATGTGGCACTCCCGCTCCCCTTTCTTGGCACAGCCCACCATGATGGGCAGAATCAATTCTTCGAGGTAGTGATCAAACTGCTTGTGAGCACCATCATTAGACAGTTCATGTAGCAAAGCACCTGGGGAGAGAAAACACAGCTGAACATGCTTTCTGTCTAAATGCACTTAAACCTGGAATGAAAAAGACTACTCGGTTGCAGCTGTTATCACTGATCAGGTTCAGAGAAGTCTTATATTTCAAAGCAAAGAGACTGTTTTCCTGCTCCAAGATGATAATTAAGCTGACTTTGTTAGATGTGCTTCAGAGTCTGCCATGCTTTGATTTGCTCATGTTTAATAATCCCTGATCATCCTGAACAACTGAGGTTTTGCTGGACTCACAGTGTCACCAGGAACATTAATTTTACAAGAAATGGAACCCATCCTGTTGGGATGATTCTTTGTAGTACCCCTTCTGAAGATGCTCTGGACCCTGATTTCATGGAGTTGGAGTACCAGAGTAGAGTGATAATCTGATGTTTGGTGACACTGAAAAGACTTACTCTATGCGTGTATTAGACTCAGTAGAGAAACCACAAGTCTAAAGCCCTTCATGCAAACGGCAGGGAAATGTATTATGAAGTTCAAAGAATAATTCTTTAAATAATTCAGGAAGCCTAGGTAATAAGAGCAATATGAATTCTAATCATAGATTTAATGATTAGAACTTTGAACAAGCAGAGTTTTCAGTTTCATCATTTGTTAAAATTTAGTTAGCACCCATCTTTTAGAGTTGTTTTAAGATTTTTTTTAAAAAGTTTTTTTGTAGTTAAATGTCTTCATTTTATGTTCTTATGTGGTGCTAAGGATCGAACCCAGTGCCTCACACATGCTAGGCAAGTGCTGTACCACTGAGCTACAGCCCCAGCCCTGTTTTAAGATTTTGCAAGTCTATATCTACAAAGCATTAAGCAAACGGTAGGTTAAGAATGACTAAAATAATGTTAAGAAGAATGCAGCCAATTTTTGCTGTTTGGCCTTATTAGTGAGCCTTTCCTCATAGACAGTCATTTTCTTTGTTATTGGAGATGATCATGCTATGTGAAATAAGCTAGTCCCCCAAAATCCAAAGGCGAACTGTTCTCTCTGATATGTGAATGCTAACTCACATTGGGTGGGGGGGTGTGCACACAGAAGTTCATTGGATTAGCAAAGGGGAATGAAGGGAGGCAGGGGATGGGGATAGGAAAGATAGTAGAATGACTTGGATATTACTTTTCTGTGTGCCTGTATTATTACATGACCAATAAAATTGTACATTTTGGGGCTGGGATTGTGGCTCAGCGGTAGAGCGCTCACCTAGCACATGTGAGGTCCTTGGTTCAATCCTCAGCACCACATAAAAATAGATAAAGATATTAAAAAATATATTAAAAAAAGAAATTGTACAGTATGTACAACTGGAAGAATAAGAAGTTTCATGTATAACTAATCAGAATAGATAAATAAGCAAACAAAGAAAAGAGTTGACACCAAGGTCCTTCCCAAGAGGGAAGCAATTAGCTTTGTGACTCCGAAGTCAAGCTAGACTTAAACCCACTGTGTGAGTGATTTGATTTTTTTTGTTTACTCTACTTCCTCAAAATACTTCAAAGCAGAAGGGAACAAGTTAGTAGGACACTGTGCCTCTAGAGATGATTTCAACCTACAATGGAAACTCCTCTGCCCTAGAGTTCAGCTGCTCAATACAACTGGCAGGTGTTCCTGTACTTACTCAGATCTTGACATCGAATAGTGTTGAAATCAAAGTTAATACAGAGATAATCGCATGTATCTCTAAGGTCTGGAATAGAGATGCCATCAGGACAATTGATGATACCAGTTTTATAATAATCCTGTAAATACATTAGAAAGAAGAAATGTGGCAAAGAACAACATGAAGATGCCTTCTGCAACCCTATTCATTCATTCACTCATGCATTACTTTTGCTAAAGTAACGGGTTCTTGGAATTATCATCAAGCTAGTTGATTCATTAAATGATAGAGTGGCTCCTGGCTATCCTGTCTATGTTTAGCTGAGCTCAGATAATTAAGATGGACAAGAATAGAAAAAAAGAAAAGGCAACAACTGGGAAACAAACCGTAAAGTCAAGAACATGGTTGATGGAACTCTCTTTCTTTTCCTGTAGCAGTGAGGATTTAACCCAGAGCCTTTTAGATGCGGGGCTAGCACTCTTATCACTGAGCTACATCCTTGGCCCTTTTAACAATTTTTTAAAATGAGACAGAGTCTCCCTAGGTTGCCCAGGCTGGCCTCACACTCGTGCCCTCTTGTTTCAGCCTCCTGAATAATTAATGGAATTCTTAGGGGCACATGTATTTCCCAGGGAAGAGAATATTTATAAAAAAAAACAAAACAAAGTTACCACATACCAGTACTGTGCGAAATACAGTTGCACTGATTCCTTCAGCAATCTCATACTCTCCCTTCTCATTGGGCCGAGTGAAGTTGTACTCTCTTCCTGGTCCAAACATCCTGCAAGACACCCAGGCAATGTTACCTTCTCCAGCAGGACTCTTTCTCTTCAGATGAGACTTCTCCTTTATTTCTCATTTTGTAAGACTACTGCTTCTCCCACAGTGTAAGTTAAAAACACAGCCCTGGGTCCCAAGGCCTAGAAGCACTCATGTCTTAGGAAACTCCCTTCAGACAGGAAGAGAGCAATTGCTTCACAAATGGGTGTGTAAGATAGAATGAAGCACCAAATCCTCAAGGTTCATCTATAGTGAGCTTCTTCAGCAACAAGTGCAATAAAATATCAACCACAAACATGGCCCTTAGAAAATCTCTGAAGCGTGTGATGGTTGCCTTTCATATCCTCCCCAGTGCCTAAGAACCTGTCTATATGTTTTGAAAGCTCAGAAAGACAGCTTCTCCACTCCCCACCTTCCCTCTTCCTTTGCCCTCCTTTATCAGCCTTAACCTATCCAGCATGCACTCCTCAATATTTCTAGGTTTTGCTTTCAGCATGGAGTCTGCTGTTAGCAGGCATGTTAGCAGGTGCAGCTATGTTAACTTAGTGCTTTCCCTTTCCTGGTACATCTTAAGAGTGGAGCTCTGGAAAAAGCGCCCTTACAACCCAAGGAGCTGCTCTCTGATGGAACTCCGAGGTGAAGTATAAAAGGAGGGCAGGTATGAGGCTCAGCAGCAGTTTGGCATATTTCAGAGGCAGGCCTGCTCCCGGCATCTCAGAAATTATGGGGGTATAGGGAGAAGGCTCGCTTTTTTTACCCATCTTCCCCAGCCTGCCTGCCTTCTCTCAGGTCCCTCCAGTCATGGACCCCTGGCTTCTCCTGCTGCACGCCTGTTTCTAAGGGGGAATGGAAGGCAGCACAAAGGGCTGGACAGGCAGGCTCCAGCTTCGGCCAGCCTGATTTGATTTCCCAGTGGGGATTTGCTGCCATTTCCTTCCTTAGCCTGTGGCAAGAGCTGCGGTGAACTAACTGTTCACAACTGTTCTAATCTGAATTGGCTGCTTTTCAAAGATCTGAAAATGATTCCATGTTACATCCTTTCCAAATCACAGCACCATGAATAAGAAATCTATCTTGATAAATGTCATTTCCAAAGAACACTGATATTTGCCTGGCACATTCTGGCTGAAGTCTAGCTGAGAGAACTTTGAATCAAAATAGTGAACAACATGCTGTGACTATGATCCCTGCCTCTGTCCTCAGCGGGACTGAAGTGCAGTGTTTTTCACCTCACGCTGGGGGTGTGGATCTGCTTTAGTTCATTCTCATTCTCACAGTTCATTCCCTATGACAAGGGGTTTGCATCTGTAGGCTGGCTGGAGAGGTACAAGTATGTGCGCAGCCAAGGACAGAGAGCCCTAAGACAGAACAAAACTGGGTAACTCACAGAATTCCTGACCCTAGCTACTCAGCTGAATGGACCACCTAAGTACAGAGCCAAACTCTCCTGTCCACAGGGAAACTAAGCTATCCCCAGATTCAAAGAACCAAGAATCTATTACCCAGAAAATGCTTGCCTTCTTTCTTTTGATAACTACTTTCAGAGGCAATATATCTAAAACAGTCAGCCTGCACTGATGAATACTTTTGTGAGGGAGAGAACAATAGTGGTGATACTAAACTGAGAACAGGAAGTCAAATCTGATTAACATGTTGCCAAGTTGGAGAAGTTTTAATTTCATCTTAATTCAAAATACAGAGATAGATTTGGTTCTTGTTTAAAATAGTAGTTCACTGTGAATTTTTATGTTCAAATATACACATTTGAATAACTGGATTCCATTTGGCATAAGAATTCAGCATATGAGTAAAATCCATTCTGATTCCTAGTTGAGCTCAAATTCGTTCCAAGTATTGAATGAGGCTATATCTTTAAACAAAATAAAATCTACTTCTGAGTAGATAAAAATCACCCAAAGTCAAATCTACATATACTACCACAGTCTTTCATTCTTATGCAAATTTGTTCTTCCTTAATATACTATGGTTAGCTAAAAAGATGATCTCCCACCTCCATGGCCAGGTTCCAAGAGTACTTCCTTCATTCCCTACAGCTCTGAAGAGCCAGGGCAGGAGATGGTGTAAGGAGGACTTGACAAAGTCTGAATGCAGCAGCACAGGGAGCAGAACATGGAGACTAAAGACAGCGATCATGGAAGAACAAAACGACTAGGTATAAAGACTCCATTTCAAAAAACTGTGAATAGTAATGAAGGCCTAGAACATAACAGCACAGCATATGTAACAACAACGAAACTGTCCATAAATGGGAAGTCAAATTTTTTCAATAAAATAGCTTTATTCTTTTGTCAATGTATTTTTTCTTAGGGGGAAAAAAACAGCTTAGGTTTCAATTTAACAAACATCTTTGACCTATGTAACTCAGAGAACTTAATTTTATGTTGAGTTTACATGGAATGAGTTTACAGGGAATGAGGTTCATCAAGTTATTTTCTGTGGTTCCTATTAGATTTTACTCCCTATTGTGAAGCTTCCCTGCTGCTGGATGTGTGTGTGTATGTGTGTGTGTGTGTGTGTGTGTGTGTTTTGGCAGTATTGGGAACGGAACCCAGGGGGCCTTGTTCATGCTCAGTGTTCCACTGAGCTCCATCCTCAATCTTCCTGAACTGGCTTTGTAAATGAACTACATCACCCCTTTCATATCACCAACACACAAACTTTGTACCAGCTTGCCCTCCTTTTTCACAAAAGTAAGAATGTACAAAATTAAGAATGCAATGCTTTTTAGTCTCACATTGGATGCAAGATAAATACCATGTATTTCTATTTGTAGAGAAGAGTGAATCTGGAAGGAAATGATCATCAGTTACCTTCCCAACATGGTATCCGGATGAGCAGTGAAAATTTGTGGATTCACAACAAAACGTGTGCCATCTACAAGAAGGGTCACTTTCTCTGGTGCCTGGGAATGAGGGTTACTGCCAAAGCCCATACTGCTGTTTCCAAATCTTTCTGGAGCAATAAAGGGTTCATGGTTCCGTTTATTCCCACTTTGGAAGCAAGAGCCTTTAATGTCTTCGGGAAGCGGCATTATGTGAGGAAAAGGAAGATTTGCTGGCTGAGAGGCATAATCAAGTGAAAGGTCTAAAAGATCATACAAACAAACCAAATAATTTGAGAACAAAAGCCTTGGGAGAAAAATAAAGCCTGTCTTCTTTAAACTAACAACAGTTAAATAAACAAAACCCCAAATTCTTAGGTGATCACAGGCAAAAGCTCGCTAGAGTGTTAAAAACAAAACTAGAGACCATATTGAATATCTCCTTGAACTTATTTTTCCATATACAGGTGGGGTGGGAATTGGCAGGGAATGAAAGCAGAAACACTCACATTGAAAAGTAGAATGATTTAAAAAATGTGAACTGTGTCTATGTTAAAATAATACTCTTACACTTCCCATGTTTTATTTAGGAAACCCTTAACTCCTGTGTGTTAAAACAATTAATTTTCACACTCTTCATTTTTTTTATTTTTAATTTTATTTTCCAGTTGGGAATGGTGGTGCACACCTGTAATCCCAACTACCCAAGGGGCTGAAGCAGGAGGATCACAAGCTCAAGGCCAGGGATGGCAACTTGGCAAGACCATGTCTCAAAATAAAATTTAAAAAGGGCAGGGGGTATTGCTCAGTGGTAGAGTGCTTTTTAGCATGCATGAAGCCCTGGGTTCAATCCCTAGTATGCCCCCCCGCCAAAAAAAATCATTTTCCAGAGAGGATGATTTTTCTAATATATCACTTTTCCTAGAAATTCATAGAAAAATATATTTCACTATATACAGGAGATTCCTAACATCATCTATACCATTTATTAAATAAGTAGGTCTTGCTCTCAATGGAACAGTTCTAGGGCAAATAGCACTAGAATTTATTCATGGAACTTTGTTTTTCATCCTAGTATCATAAAAAAGCCATTTTAAAAAGTTATTTAATGTTTCTAAACCTGGTCTATCTGTAAAATGAGGATAATAATATTCACTCCATTTGATTATGAACTGGAAGTATGAGAATACTTAAAAACATACAATACCACATGATTCACAACAGGCTTAAAAATAAATATATGAAATATGGATTATATAGAAGAGAATCAGAAGTATATACAGACACATTATCAAGACAATTTTTTTAAATAGGCACTCTCCTTGTGTATTTTTTTTCTAACGTAAAAGAAATATTTTTAAAAGAAAAATTTCAAATACACAGAAGCACAGACTTAAAAAAAACCACATATATCCAATCACCTATATTTAACAAGCTTAGTTTTTAATATTTTCCTACCTTTTTACAAACTTTTTTTTGAAAACAAGAAATAAAATGTTTCAGATACAAGTGAATCGTCTCACTTCCACCCTCTCATATATTGTAAACATATGTACAATTATTCATGAACCTGGTTTACTGCCCATGACCTCTCTGATTTCTTGCACTTATAACCAAATATATTTTTAACTACTTGTTTGAAGACAAAGAAAAATCAATACATAGACCAAAAACCTATTTAAAGTTCCATCCTACAGCGTCAATAATCTTCAATATGGCCCCATGTTTGCACACCAAGAGCTAAGGAGCCACATGATGCACAGGCTACCTCATAGGAAGAACACTTGGTCACCAAGACAGATTTTCACACTTGAAGTGCTGTTCTTAAAAATGAAATACGGAGTGGGGCTGGGATTGTGGCTCAGCAGTAGAGCACTCGCCTAGCACAGGCAGGACCCGGGTTCGATCCTCAGCACCACATAAAAAAAAATAAAGGCATTGTGTTGTGTCCATCTACACTTAAAAAATAAATATTAAAAAAAAAAAAAAGAAATACGGAGGGGATGGGGTTGTGGCTCAGTGGTAGGATTTGTGTATGTGTGTGTGTGTGTGTTGGCAGTACTGGGAACGTGTGTGAGACACTGGGTTCGATTCTCAGCGCCGCATATACCTAAATAAAATAAAGGTCCATTAACAACTAAAAAATATTAAAAATTAAAAAAAAAAAAAAGAAATGGATACCTGAATTGCTAATTCAGTTCTTTAGAATGCTTGATTTCACAACAATGAAGCAATTAAATTGTGTTGATTCCTGAACCCAAGGAAGAAGCCTCAACTTCTGCCCTACTTAAATGGGAGGGTAGGAAAAGACTCATTGCACAAATTCCCCTAATGGCCTTCTGTAGGGTGCAGTCACACACTGTTCTGTCAGCTGATACATGTAGCAGAACCTGGTCAGAAAGAGAACCAAATCCCAGTTCCCTGCCTCCTAGCAGTGTGAACCTGGGAAAGTTAGCTAAGCTTTCTAAGGCTGTTTTCTCATTTGCAAAACAAGGATAATAATTGTAAAGATTAATCTAGAAAAGGTGTGGGCAAACTTTCTATAAAGTACAGAAGTATTCTGGGCTGTGCAGAGCAAAGTTTCTGCCACTGAAGCAGGAAGGTTGCCACAGATGTGATGTAAACAAATGGACTTGAGTATGTGTATCAAAATTTTATTTACAAAAACAAGCAGCAGCCAGATTTAACCAGTTTGTCACCCCTGATCTAAAGAATGTACTGTATGTATAATTCCTAGTACAGTGTGTGCTCCATAAATGGCAGTTGCTATTATTGTTAATTTTATTGCAAGTTTATAAAGTATGCTTAAGTGGCTGGGGTTTTGGCTCAGTGGTAGAGCACTCACCTAGCATGTGTAAGGCACTGGGTTTGATCCTCAGCACCACATAAAGATAAATAAAAATATTGTGTCCATCTACAACCAAAATGTATTTTTAAAAAAAAGTATGCTTAAAAAGTACAGCTAGTAAATGAGCCAATGTGTGAATATCTTTTATAATTGATAAAAAAGATGCATCTTGGGCATGGAATTGTTAAACTACCTTTGAATAGTATATATCAGAACTTGATCATTAGGATGGCAACAGAGGGAAGGAAGAAAGCTTAAAGGAAGAGACATCTGCAGATGTGTTCCCACTGCTATCTGACGATAGTCACTGACACACGAGCGTCCTTTTCTGTACTACAGGAACACATTAAGTAGTTCAACGAAAACAAACCTTCTTGCTAATATTTTAACAGTAGAGAACTGATAATAAATTATCTTAGAAATATTATACCTAAGGTGCTCTGTTGCCTTGTCTCATTTTATACTGAGCATTAAGGGAATGCAGCATTTTAATCATAATTCTGCTAATACTTTTACACAGAAACCTGTTGCCATTTTTGTCTTTTATAAAATTTTTGTCGCCAAGAAAGTCAAGATTAGATTTTTTTTTTTCTAAATCAAATTTGTGTAGTATATCCTTGGTATCAAAATGCTCATATACTTTGAGATTTTGAATTGGTAAATATTTACAATATGTGAAAAAGCACAATATACACCATGATCTCAATCATATAAAATGAGATGTTTTATATATACACACATACATACACACACACACACACACACATACACACACACATGCAGGACCTGGGAGGACACATCTAACTGGACTCTTGTGATTGTAAATGATTTTGCTTGGAGTCTTGTGCTCTTCTACTTCCTATAATGCACATATTACTTTTTTAAAAAATTAAGATTATTTTTAAAATGTGTTAAAAAAATAAAAGTAAAAGTAAAGAACCTAACAGGTTATCAAGAGCTTTCACATCATTAACATTAATCCACCAGACTTATGAGGAAGGAGGCATATTAATATCCCTGTGTTCTAGATTAAGAAAGCAGGAATCAGAGAGATTAATTCTCTCATCCATGGTTATAGCTAATGCACTGCTGAGCTAGAATTTCAATCTGATTTCTGACTCCAAACTTGCAGCTGTTTGACTTACACCATTATCTTCAAGTTAGATGTGCTAGACTAATTACATAAGTGGACATTTTCTGTGACAGTATGATAGAATTATAATAGGCAAGCTAAGTTGATTAAGTAGATAACATTTATATAAGGATATTCAGGCCTTCTTGGCAGAATAAGATGCTAAAGGGTCAGAAAACTCCCCCATCCCACAAATTAAGCCAAGAACTAATCACTGTACCTTCATTCCTGGGACCTAGGGGATAAGTAAGATTGTGAAGACCAGGTGAAGCCAGGCTATTTGTTTCTTTTTCCTGAGCTGCATCTGAGGTATCATCCACTAGGCAGCTGGCCTCTGGACGCAACAACCTGTCGCCGTCACTACCACGATGAACATTCATTCTCAGACCCTGTATCCTCAACTGTCTGCTTAATCAGAGAGGAATCCTAGAAGACAAGAATATGCATGATTTAGAACTCACAAAACAGGCTTCCAAGGTATGAAAGCCAAACTAAAGGATAGACAGCTCCAATTCTTGTTCTTAGGAGACAGGGGCATCTAAACATGTTTGTGATTTTATGTTATGAGGAATCAAACTGATTTAAATGATTTGCTGTTTTTTACCAAATCACTAAAAGCAATGATAAACTTGTTACCAGGGGATAATTTTAAGCTTTATCCATAAATGCACATCGAATCAACTGACTTTGGTATATACATGATCAATTCTGCATATTAAATGGTACAACAGTAATTTGGTATTGCTTATACCATAAACACAGAGGGTGGAGGGAAGGGTCCAATTGTTTAAAGAAAAACTGTTTTTAAAGAATGACATATATACTCTTGTAATAAGGAAAATTACAATTACAAACCATAACGAGGAAATTAACAATCACAACCATAATGAGGTAGAAAAGCTGGAATGAAAACTCACCGGAGCTAAACAAGCAAGCAAACAAACAAAAAGTGAATTTTGATTTGCAGTACTCAAATTCTCCTTTTCATTTTCTCTTTGTAAATTCCATACATTATGCTCAATCCCAAATGCCATCTCAAAATCACTGCTGTAAAGCTAACCATACCACCTCTCCCCCTGCAGCCCACAATTCCAACGAACAACACATATTGAGTGACTGTCACATGCAGAGAAAGGAGCGCAGGAGCCACACCTGGGCGTCAGGCCTCTGCTGGTTAACTGCGCCCTGCAACACTTCCATGCGCCATGGCTGCCCAACTACTGAAAATATCCCTGCAGTTCATTCTACTCAGCACTTTCACACCTGATGCGACACTTAATTTCCACTTGACTTTCTGGTGGGAGAATCATTTAAAAATATCCAGCAATTTGTATGCACATGGATCACATGCTTAATATTTCAGGAAGGAGGAAGCCCACCAAGGACAGTATCATGTTTTAATACTCTGAATTTCCAGACAGACCAAGCATGTAGTAGGTGCCAATAAACACCTGTAATTTAAATTAAATTTTGAATCCCTTCATAATCTGTATTAAAATAATTTGAGCATAAAGTTGATCAGTTAAGTTCCTGTTTTAACTTGGATGAAATATAAATGACCACCTTGAATAGATGAATCAATGCATGTGCCTGAAAAATAAGTCATTTTAAAGAAGAGTTATTTTCATTTGAGGTATTCTTCATTCTCAGACAATGGCTCTTATATAGCAAATTGAAGAAATAAAGTAAATGCACTGATAAAAAAACACATTAATATGCGGCTACAGCTTTTTCAGAATTATTCTTTAAAAGATGTCAAAATCAGGTCTAGAGAACAATGTAAAAAAGCAGGGCTGGGGAGATAGCTCAGTGGTGAAGTGCTTCTCTAGCATAGGTGAGGCCCTGGGTTCCATCCCCAGCACTGCAAAAGAAAAAGGGAGGAAGAGGAGGCTCGTGAACTTTTAAAGAACAGTACCAACACAAAGTGGGTCTGCTGCTTGACACTTAAGCAGCTTTGAACCGTGATGTTCCACTCTACCTGTGGCTGCTCCCCTCCAATCTTCATTAGCTCTTCAAGAACCAAGTTCAACTTTCTCTTTGTTGCTCTCCAAAAGATCTCTTGAACCACTCCAATAAGCTTTAGCTAAGCCTATTTATTGAGGACTTGCATGAACCAGACTATATAAATTACTTCAAGAGGGGTTGGGCTGTGGCTCAGTGGTAGTGCACTTGCCTGGCATGTATAAGGCACTGGGTTCAATTCTCAGCACCACGTATAAATAAATAAAATAAAGTCCTTTCAACAACTAAATAAAATATTTAAAAAATGAACCAAACAATTTGAAAATAAGATCATCTCAAAGATTAAATTACTTTACGTAATCTTACAATGTAAGGAAAATAATAGGTTTTGTGTGTGTTTTTTGGATTGAATCCAGGGGTACTTTACCACTAAGCTACATCCCTAGCCCTTTTTATTCTTTATTTTGAGATAAGGCCTCACTAAGCTGCTGAGGCTGGCCTCAAACTTGCAATCCTCCTGCCTCAGCCTCCCAAGTCATTGGAATTATAGGCATATGCCACTGCACCTGGCTGTAGAAAAAAGAATTTTGTCATAATGGAATATAGTGAAAACATTTCTTTACTAATTTATAGTATCAGGGCTCAGAACTCAGTTTAATCTGTATATAGCCAGTCAATAAACAGCTGTAATTTAGCAGAGAAAGTATATCCAATAAAGGAAAAGAAAGTAAACTTCTAGGCATGTAAAAGCCATTTGCATTTAATTTTCATTATAAATAATACATGAATATATTCCCTTCTAAGAAAATTCAGCACTAATAAGATAAAATAACTCTTTGATCATCATCCCCAAATCCAGTTAATTCTCTAAGTAAATGTCACTACTTGCTTGGTAGGAATCCTTTCAGGCTTCATAAGAATGCATTTTACTACACAGATATAGTTATTAAAAAATACCAACCACAAACCATATAGTACTATTCTGCATCATTCTCATTCTGAGAAACACTCACATTAGAAAATGGAGATCTAGCTCCTACCTTTTTAACTGCTATGTAATATTCTACGATTCTACTTTACTATGAACATTTAAATTGTTTCTAACTACTACAAACAATTCAATGAACAAGATCAGATCATACCATAAACTCCAAGAGAAGGTCTAGTTTGCAAAGTTTTCCCAAATGGATATGGTCTCAGCACTCCTTTTTTCAAGAAACCCATCAGGATTAATGTTTAACTGTACATCTTTTAAGAAATCACCTGCCTGGTGTGGTGGCACACACCTGTAATTCCAGTGGCTGAAGAGGCTGAGGCAAGAGGATCACAAATTCAAAAATCAGCCTCACAATTTAGTGAGGCCTTAAGCAACTTAGTGAGACCCTGTCTCAAAATAAAAACAGAAAAGGCTGGAGATGTAGCCTGGTTAAGTGCCACTGCATTCAATCCCTGGTACAAAAAAAAAAAAAAAAATCACCTAATCCAGCACTTCCAAAAATTCCTTATAATCTCTAACTCCTCTATAATCCCAGAATGACAGAACAAAAAAATCCCTTGACGTATGAGACCTAAGAGGTAAATTCATTGACAAATGACTTCAATACACACCTGAGTGGCCAGTTTAAACATAACAGCAAGGGTGTATACCCCCTGCAGGTGGATGTTTTAGTCAGACTTTTTTTTTTTTTAAGTGTAAAAATAGTTTCCAGATCCATTATTGTGTACAAGAACTGCCTTAGCAATTTGTTTTAGCCAAGCAGAGTGGCACACACTTGTAATCCCAGCTACTTTGAAGGCTGAGGCAGGAAGATGGCAAAATCAAGGCCAGCTTGGATAACTTAGTGAGACCCTGTTTCAAAGTAAAAAAATAAAAAGGGCTAGAAATGTAGCTCAGTGGTAGAACATCTGGGTTCAATCCCTAGTACTGCAAAAATAACAAAACCCCCCAAACCCCCTTTTTTTCTGGCAGTGCCAGTAATCGAACCCAGGATTTCATGCAAGCACTATGCCACTGAGCTACATACCAGCATCCGCTCCAAAAATAAGTTCTTAAAATTCATATTAGAGGGGGCTGGGGATGTGGCTCAAGCAGTAGTGCGCTCGCCTGGCATGCGCGGGGTGCTGGGTTCAATCCTCAGCACCTCATAAAAATAAAATAAAGATGTTGTGTCCACCGAAAACTATAAAATAATTTTTTTTTTTAAAAAATTCATATTAGAGGGCTGGGGCTGTAGCTCAATGGCAGAGCGCTTGCCTAGCATGTGTGGGGCACTGGGTCTTTTTGTCCTTAAAGTATATCCCGCTAAGGATGTACAGGCAATGTGCTGTGTATCAGTTATTTTATTTTTTTCTATGTATGTTCTATAAGTTAGGTTCATTGTTTCTCTTTATATTCAATTATAGCATATTTTTATTAGTTTTAAAATTTATTTTTTAATATATAAAACATTTACATGCTTTTGAAAACTAATGAAATAAAAAAAAGTTGTCAAAAAGAACAAGCTGGGCATAGCGGTACATGCCTGTAATCCCCAGCAGCTTGGGAGGCTGAGGCAGGAGGATCACAAATTCAAAGCCAGCCTCAGCAACTTAGCAAGGCCCTAAGCAACTCACCAAGACTCTGTCTCTTAAATAAAATATTAAAAAGGGCTGGGGATGTGCCTGGGTGGTTGAGTACCCCTGGGTTCAATCTACCCCACCTCCTCCAAAAAAGAACAACCAAAATTAAAGTCACATTAAAAAAGGAATGCTCAGGAGCCTCTCTCCTTCCCATTTCCCTCCAATCTGTTCCCACACATTCCCTAAGATAACCAGCTATCTTAGTATACTTGTATTGCTATAACAAATACCTAACGCTGTATAATTTATAGAGAACAGAAATTTATTTTCTCAGTTTTGGAGTCTGAGAAGTTCAAGATCAAGGCATGATTGGGTATCTGGTGACGGCCTGTCCCTCAAAGATGGTGCCATCTATGTGTTCTCATATGATGGAAAAAACAGAAAAGCTACCTAGTTCCCTTTGATTTTATTTTATAAGGTCCAAGAGTACAGCCCTTATTGCTTAATCACCTCCCACAGGCCCACCTCCTAACACCACCACCCTAAGGTTGCAATTCCAATGCATGAATTTTGGAGAGACACACAATCAAATCACAGCATTGGATTATTCGTTTCTCCTTATCCTTCATGGTTCTCTTTGCTGTAATAAGCAAATATGTGTATATGTTTTGTTTTATTTGGTAGTACTGGGGACTGAACATGGGTGCTCTACCACTGAGCTACACCCCCAGTACTTTATTATTTTTCTTAAAATGTTCCTATTAGTTCATATAGCCACGCACAGCAGTGAGGTTCATTTTGACATAATCACACATACATGGAATATAATTTGTTCCATTCCAGTCTCCAGAACCTCCTCCTTCTTTCCCCTCCCCCATCTCCCCTGCTCCACCTCACTGGCCTTC